AGCTTTCATTTTTGCAGTCGAAAAACTGCAGAAGAAATCGGGCATAAGTCGTTCTGACATTATTTTATAACTGAAAATCTGCTGCAGGTGACAGCTTTTTTGTGAACTCGCTTTCTGTACTAAAAATGAATTTTCTTTTTTTTTTTCTCTAAGCAGTGATTAAATTTAATGGAAACAGATGAATGTGAATAAAATAGACAGATTTGTAATCGTGAAAGAACGTTTGGGTGCAGCAAAATTGCCGGGTGCATTAAAGTATAGCAGGAACTATTATAGCACCCTTGTTGAGGGGACGGAGAAGTATTTCTGTAAGAATGAGATGGAAGTGAATTGCTTTTTCACTGTGAAAATTTTAACACTGCTCAATTTGATCGAGATTTAGATTTCGGAAGATGAAGACGAGGTCCCGGTAGATATCGATTTCCTTAGCTTCAATGCGGGCAATTCAAAGGTGGACGAACGCAGCGAAGTACTGCTTCAAGATATTACCACTGCTGTCCAAAACAAAGGCAAAGATTTTGGTAAGCTGATGCTTTGCTTTTGTTACCAAACGAATGAAACAAATTTCTCCGTGTTTAACTTGGTGCTACTCGGTTTTTTGCTTCATTTGATTTTGACGGGAAAAGGTCGGAGTGAAATTTAGCGCAATGAGTGAAGGAAAATTTGTGCACTTTGTTGCTTGAGGGATGTACATCTTTTTTTGAGTTCCTGTAAACAATTAAACTGAGTTGAGCAGCTCCGGAAAAGCTAACAGTTTGGTATATTACTAAAACACGGCTCGGCTCGTCTCCTACACGAGCTGCAAAAAATTTTTTTCCCTGAAGGCGGGAAGGGTTGCCCCACGGCGGATGGCGGTAGTTTGAATGTGGTGCCAGTGTAAGCTAAAATAATTGGCCAACGCACGGGTTGCCCGTGCGAAGATGCGTTTTTTTGCAGAGTTCCCCGCAATTTTTGTCACTACCGACATCGGTTTTTTCGCCAAACGCTTCAAGCTAAGCAAATTAAGACTGGTTGCCAGAACTGGTAGGAAACACCCCTTAAAATTTCAGCTTTCTAGTTTTCCTGGCTCCTGAG